AGCTGCCATTCAGGCCTTAGCTCGTGTTTCCAGGGAGGGGCCGGGTGGGCAGTATTTTCCGCCCTGTGAGCCTCCCAGCCCGTGTCGCAGTCACTCCCCTGGGCCGTGGGAGCGCCAAGCAGCCCTAGGCCCGGCGTGACCGAAGGCGCGTGGCCGTGTGCCCCTGACACTTGATTTACCAAAGCAGGCAGTGGGTCGCATTATTGGGCATCGGCTCCCTCCCAGACCCCTGTCCGAGGTGCCAGAGCTACCAGCAGGCCTGTGCCCCTTACCTAGCCGCAGAAGCATCGTGCTCCACTGGGAGAAGGACAAAGACAAGCAGGCCACCTGAATGCCATCGGCTGACGAGTGGACGGAGAAAATGGGACGTGTACACACACTGGCCTCTGAAGCGGAAGTCCTGCCGTAGGCAGCAACATGGATGGATCTGGAGGACGTTACGCTGAGTGAAATAAGCCGGTCAGAGAAAGACATACTGCATCATTTCATTTATATGAGGCATCTCAAGGGGCTGAACTCATAGAAGCAGAAGGTAGCAGTGGTTCCCGGGGGCTGGGCGGGGGGGGGGAGCAGAAACGGGGAGTCATGGTTCGGTGTGTATAAAGTCTCGGTGATGGAAGACGGAAAATGTCTAGAGATCTGCTGTACAACCTTCTGCACGGGGTACCTTGGCCATACCCTGGAAATTTGTTAAGAGGGTAGATCTTGTGTTGTTATTTTGTTTACCAACCATTTAAAAACACGAGAGAAAAAGAGAATGCTTTTGATTGCCAAGGAGGAAGCCCCCAACTCTCTCTGGGGGAATTAATGCATGTGGCACAGAGAGTATGGAACAGAAGAGAATTCTGGAGGGTGAATAGGAGCTTTCCCGTCAGGGGACAGGAGAGCTGTTCTAGGTAGAGGACACAGCACACTCAGACGAATGGGTTTCTGCCTGACATGCTGATGATCCTTACTAGTCTAGCATGGGGTGCTCTGTATTCAGTGCGGCCTTGATCAGACTTAGAACCTGTCCTTCTTTACCTTGATCTGGGTGATTTCCTGCTTTCGTTCATCTTCTAGAAACCGTTTTTTTATTGCCAATATCCAACTATGCGAAGTCCAGATTTCCTTTAGATGGCACAGATCCCTGTTTTGAGGGTGAGCCAACCCATCCAGAGTTGTTTTCAGTATCAAAGTCATAAATCACATCACTGATACTCTCACAGCTAACGCATGCTGTGTTCATTGGGCGCTGGGTGAAGTGAGTTTTACTGGACAGGGTCTGTTGTTATCATCTGCTGGTGAACACTTGGACCCCAGCCCCTTGGAGCCGTTATACTGCAAGACCAAACCGATAGATACTTTCTTGTCTGAAAGGATTGGATAAAAGATCTAGGTGCGCCGTGTGTCTTCCAGAGTCCCTTTGTGGGTAAGTATGGTTGGGTAGGAGAGATGTTATTTTGTCAGGCCAGATGCCTCCAGCATGAAATTTGATTCCATCCCATTTCTGTTGGCAGTTTTATCCTCCATCGTTGTTCCTGTCCTCCTCCCGGAAGTCCGTCCACGATGCCACAGCTCACTTACCTGTCTTCGTTACTCCTCTCCCTCCAGAGCCCAAGTAACAGTGTTTAACACTGTTACATGACAACCTTCAAAAAACCCAATGGCTTGAAACAATAACCAGTTATTTTTCTCACAGTCTGTGGGTGGGCTGGGTGATTTGATTGGGCCAAATTCGCCTGATCTTGGCTGGGCTCACTCAGGAATCTGTGCTTGGCTGGGCCTAGGGGACCTGGGATGGCCTTAGCTGAGCTGACCCAGCTCGATTCCATGTGGTCTCTCATCTTCCAGCGTTCTAGCCTAGGCTTCTCATGGCAGAGGCAGAGGTCCAAAAAAAAAACCCACCACCACCAACAAACCAGCAGAGGCTGCATCACCTCTTGGGATCTGGACTCGCACATGCATGCTAGTCACTTCTGCTGCGTGTCACAGGCCAGTCCAGATCCAGTGGGTGGAGAAATAGACTCCGCCTCTTAATGAGGAGGACCCGGGAAGTCCCGCTGAAAATGTGGTAGATCCAGGGAGGGGTAGAGAATATGGCCATTTTTGCAATCCACTGCATGGATCAGGGATCAGCAAATGTTTTCTGTAAATGGTCAAAATAGTAAACATTTCAGGCTTTGTGGGCCATATAGTCTTTGTTATAACTCCTCAACTCTGCTCTTGTAATGTGAAAAGCAGCCATAGACCATATATAAATGCCTGGGCATGGCTGTGTTCCACTAAAACTTTATTTACAAAACCGGGCCACAGGCCAGATTTGGCCCACAAGCTGCAGTTTGCTGAGCCCTGACCTGGACAATCCAGACCAAGTAGGGATCTCAGATCCAGGTTCTAGGATGTTGTCCTTCCTGAAACCAAGGCCTTGAGGCCAGAAGCATGGGTGTCATCTGTCAGCAGAAGTGCTCTTACTAGAGTGAAGAAATAAAAACAGACTGAGAGGAGCAAGGGCTCCTTGCTAAGGTACAAATGACTATTGGTATCCGTTTGGGGTTGTTCCTTGTACCATAATGAACTCATATAGTAGGTTAAGTTTATTTCTCAGCAAGTCCTTGGAGTTCACTCCTTGTCACTCCCATGTTTGGCTGGATTCTCATTCCTTATCCATCCACATCTCCCAGATGGATTCTGGATAGAATTCTTTCCATTTTTCTTTTTCTTTTTTTAAAGATTTTATTTATTTATTTGACAGAGACACAGCGAGAGAGGGAACACAAGCAGGGGGAGCGGGAGAGGGAGAAGCAGGCTTCCCGCCGAGCAGGGAGCCCGATGCGGGGCTCGATCCCAGGACCCTGGGACCCTGACCTGAGCCAAAGGCAGATGCTTAACAACTGAGCCACCCAGGCGCCCTCTTTCTATTTTTCTAACCCGGATGCCCTCTTCTTACACTTCTCCCGGGCCCTCCTGTCTGTCTTAATCCCAGTGTCAGAAGTGACCTCAGCACCTCCTTCTGGGCTCCCAGGGAAGCCCCTGATTAGATCTACAAATTAGATCTTGTATATTTTCCTTTACCAATTATGTGTCTAATTGTCGCAACCATGACATGCTCCATCAAAATTTAAAGATGTTAACTGTTCTCGAGAGTGACTTTTTGATTCAACCATTATTTCCTGGAGTTGTTGCTTGACTAGAGATTTGGTTAAATTTCAGGTAACATGAACTCCCTTTTCATAGAATGTCCAAGTCTATGCTGTTCTTCTATCTGCCGGCCTGGTTTTTCTCACGAGGGCGGCCCATTGTGGGTCAACAGTCAGCTCCCTTATTTTTCCTATCAGAGATTTTCTCTACCACATATAATACAAAGCTATTACCTTGTTTTTGTAGAAATGAGAACGAAATCTTTGCTTTCTAATTTTACTCCTTCCCCTTTATTATTGGTTGCTGCTGTCTTATGCAAGATGATTCTTCCCTGGGTACTCATCAGCAGGTATAGTTTTCAGCTTGGCATGGCTCAAACCTCAAACTTTTGAAGTTTTAAAGCAGCCGAGTTGCACAGACGGTCAATAAATCACTCGCTATCGCCACTTTATTGCTTGTAAGGTGATTACCCCGCTTTGCCCATAGCGACTTTTCAATTTGATTAAAATGCAGTTTCATCAGGTCGTGGTTGAGTCCTCCAGATATAAAAATACATAAAGCAATGAGAGAAGCCTATGCTCAAATATTTTTATAACTGCCCTTCACCTCTTTAACCATCTACTCCAGCACTTTTGTGGTCCTCGTCCTATAATTCAAAATTCCATGCTCTTTGCCAAAGTAATTTTTATTTAGTGCTTATTCCAACCTCTTGTCTTTGTGAGAGTGTATTATTTTTTTTCTGCTACCTGGTGGGGAGCATTGGTCCTGCTGCAAAGCATTTTCTTCGTCTCAAGTTAGCTCCTATGTGATCTGTAAATCAGGCTCTGATGGTGGTATAACATGCAAGGTGTCTTGGTTTATTTGCGGTTGTTTTCCAGACCCAGGGAGCCAGGAGAGTGGGAGTGGAATTGTTATCTTAGGCAGGAAAAGGAGAAACTCTCAGCTTGGCTACTGTCCTGGCAGCAGGAGCCCTTTTGACTGTATGGAGGCTGGAAGTGTGACACCGGGGTGGGGGTGGGGGGGCCTCTTCTCTGTCAGAGACTTCTCTTTGTGTCCTCACACGTTGGAAGGGTTGAGGGAGCTCTCTGGGGTCTCTTTTATAAGGGCACTAATCCCATTCCTGAGGGCTTTTGGCTTAGTCACCTCCCAAAGGCCCCACCTCCTAACATCATCACACAGGGGGATGGGATTTCTGGGGCACACGCACATTCAGACCATAGCATGGGTCATGTGGCAGGCTGTCCTCTTGCCTTGTCCATCTCCAGGGGCCCCCCTCCCCGCCTCCACCCTGCACCCCCTACACAGGGCCTCTGCCCTCTGCGGATTGCCTTGGCTTCCACCAGCGGGTTAATGCCTGGCCAGCATTTCACTCTGCTCTAGCTGTAGCGTTTGAATATCCTCAGTGGTGACACGTAGGCCGCCTGCCTGAGTGGTGCACTTTATGTCACAAGAGAACCAGTTATTGGTTCGGTTGCAGTGATTGGATTTGGAGTGGCAGGCCTCGACCCTGTTTGCCCCTCTGGCCCTCTCGTTTTGACGCCTTGCTTTTGCAGAACTTGAGGTTTTTCAGAAATGCGTGTGGTCGATCTTCTTACTTGGCGGTTCTGTATTTGTGCATTTGTCTACTCACTAAAATGTACTCGTAACCCCACATTGATACGTGCGGTACTCCCCCGGTTATTCACAGACGTGTGCGTGTGCGGAGTGGCAAAAAGTCTGAGTCACCCGAAAGGCACCCTCCTGGCTCCGCCATCTTACTTCGGCTCTCCGACTATAAGCAAGTGTCCTTTGTACAGATTGTTTAGTGCCATGTTTTTCACATTTTTGTGCTTTTTTTTTTTTAATTGGTAATTTGCTGTTTGTTGTGGGCCCGAAATGCAGGGCTGGCGTGCCCCTGGTGTTCGCACGCGCAAGAAGGCTGCAGTGCGCCTTGTAGAGAGAAGCCGTTGGGCAGATAAGCTTCACTGGGGTAGGAGTTGCAGCGCTGCAGCCGTGACTTCAGTGGGAGTGACTCAGCGGTATATATTCAAGAAGAGGTCTTCAAACAGAACCACAAAAAAGCAGGGTTGTATATTGCCTGGCTTACAAAAACGTGACCAGAGGCTTGTAGGAACCCAGCCCTGCGTATCACTTAGGGACATTGCTTCGGTAAGTCACTAATTCGGTGTTCACGGGGACTTTATAGAACGGGACGGCTGCACATAACAAAACTTGACTGTGCTCCAGACCGAAGGTTGGTGTCTCCCCAAAATTCATGTGTTGGAACCTAACCCTCGACGGGATGGTGTTAGGAGGTGTGGCCCTTGGGCCGTGATCGGGCCGTGAGAGCTGAGCCCTCATCAGTGGGGTCATGTCCTTACAAAAGAGACCCCGGAGAGCTCCACCGTTGTTTCCGGCATGTGACGGCACCGTGAAGAGATGGCTGCCCATGAACCGGGATGGGGCTCTTCACCGGACACCGACCCTGCAGCGCCTTGATCTTGGACTTCCAGTCTCCAGGACTGTGAGAAATGCACTTGCGTTGTTTCTAAGCCGCCCAGTCTGCGGTGCTCTGTCAGAGCAGCCTGAGAGGACTAAGGCGGACTGGATCTACATTCCGTTACAGCAGAGCTGCCTGTGCGGGAGCAATTCCTTCTGCCTGGAAGGTAGCATGAGAAAATACTACATGGGGCTTGTTCTGCCGTGTCTCTGCAGATGTCCTGAGTGACGGTTTTCATGCCAGGCTTTCTCTCCCAGGTGTAACTAGCATGGTCAATGCAGGAGCGATGAGCGGCTCTGGAAACCTGATGGATTTCCTCGATGAGCCATTCCCTGATGTGGGGACGTATGAGGACTTCCACACCATCGACTGGCTGCGGGAAAAGTCCCGGGACACCGACAGACACAGAAAGGTAGGTGGCAATCATAAAGACATGTCGAAGGGGCTCCCGTCAGGTGGCTGGGCCATGCTTTCGTGGGGCAGTTGCTGAGGTAGGGTTAGGTCACATGTCACATACTGGGCGAGATTCTGAAGGAGAGAAGGGCTAGCGAGAGAGGCAGAGATGTGGACAGGTAATTACGAGATTACCCGCGTTGGGTGGGAGGCTGCGTCATGCAGAGGTATGGTGTGGAGGGCGATGAGGGGACTCCAGAACCAGACAAATCAGGTACATCCTGCCCTTGATGCCTTTAGGCTGGGTGACTTTTGGGGCGCCATTTCTAGACCCTGGTTTCTCCTCTATAAGGGTGGAGGCCATTATATCTAAAGATTGAGTGAGTTGAGTTGCCTGTGTATGGAAGCACATACCACAGTGCCTGGCAGCTAGTTGGCGATCAATCTCTATTTTAGTGGCCACCATAAAGTTCGGTATAAGTGCTGCGGGATCATTCAGAGGGATGGTTAGGGAAGGGTTTTTTAGAGACGGTGACGTTTCAGTTGGGCCTTGAAGGTTGCCTAGGAGTTTGCTAGGCGGAGAAAGGGGAAAAGATTCTAAAATCAGGAGGGGCCCTTTTTTAAGTCAGAGGCATGAGAGAACACCGCACAGTAGGTGGTTCGGGAGCTCTGAGGCCTGGGGGAGGGCTCACAGGATGGGAGGACACGGGCAGGGCGCCACACCGGGAATGACCAAGTAGGCCATGAAGATGAGTTTGGGTTTCATCTTCATGGTCACAGAATACAAGAAAAATGCATTGCAGAGGGAGAAACAGGAAGCTTGGAAATCAGTTCAGGAGAAAAGAGGAAGAAGGTCTGACGAAAGGCAGCGAAGTGCAGATGGAGAGAGGCTCAGGGTCAAGAGTTATTCAGAGGAGCCCCTGACAGGATTTGGGGTGGGGTATTGGGGATAGGCAGGGAGTGGAGTCCAGGATGAGGCCCTGGCCGCGGTTAGAAGGGGGGGGGATGCCCTTGTTGGCAAGAAGGAAGGAAAGGGGAGCAACAGATTTGAGGGCGAGGCCGGTGAGTTCTGTCTCAGACACTTTGGCTTCGAGCTGTTTACCCAGCCTACAGCTGGGGGTGGTTGGCAGGCGGCGAGAACTCTGTAGTTCAAGGGTGCGGTCAGGGCTGCGGTGCAGAAGGAGGAGGCCCCAGCATGTGAGTGGGCGCCGAAGCTTTAGAAGTGGCCCAGGTGGCCTGGGTGTGCACGGAGAGGGAGAAGTAAGGAGGGGGTCAGAACTCCGGGCCCTGCCGAGATTTAGCAGGTGCAGTGGGAGGTCGGCGGGGCGCCTGTGACAGACAGCTGGGAGAGGCAGGGAGAGGTGAAGGAGGGCAACCGGCAAAGTGGTCTCGAGCGAGAGGAGGAGAGAGTGGTGAGGCCGGGGTGGCCAGCCAGGTCACTCTCCGTGGAGAGGTGAAGTAGGAGGCAGCCCCACAGCCTGGGGACTGTCGGCGGCCTCGGGGAGAGCACCTTCCGAGCAGGACGGGGAGTGACGTCCGGGGTGCTGCTGGGTCCCATCATTTCCCGCAAGTTGGCGGGAGTGGGGTAGGGAGTCCGGAAGATGAGCCAGCCTCCTGGCTCCGGTGTGGAGGACAGTGGCAGAGAGGGCAGCCTCCGGCCCGGAGCAGAGGTTGCTGGACTCTGACCCACGGGCGCAGTCCAGCCTGGCACCTGCTCTGGTAAGGAAAGTTTCCGTGGAACACAGCCGCGCCCATTCACATGCACATTCCCCATGGCTCCTCCTGTGCCCCCGTAGCAGAGCTGAGTAGTTGTGACAGAGGCCGGCTGACCCGCAGAGTCGAAAATCTTTCCAGAAAATGCTCTAAGGAGCTCAGGGAGGAATGGCATTGGAACAGTGTGTTCAGACACGTTCATCCGCCTGCTGAAGGTGATCCGGGCTAGCCCATTCAGAGTTCTTGCTGCTAGCCTTTGACCTTGAAAACAAAAGAAGGAAATGAACTCTGTGTTGAAGAGCTTCTTTCGTGAGCAGACCGTAAGGTGAGGGTTAAAGTGGTAATTCTCATTTAAAATGGTGACGACAAATGGCTGTCTCCCTTCAGAATGGCTTCTGAATCCTCAAAGTTCAAATCACACTTAAGAAGTTTTTTTTAATTAAGTGAATTTTGGGGGGATTCTAAGTCTTTGGTGGCTACAATGGCATCTCTGCAACTGCGTGAACCCGAAAGCCCGTTTTGTCATTGCGCCAGATAACGGGTAAGGTGACGGAAGTGGCAATTTAGTCACTTAATTACATTCGTTTTCTCACTCACCCCATTTCCCGGAAGAAACCGTTTCAGGGAAGGAAGCGTGAATTGGAAAATGTATCCCGAATCAACTACTGTGTCTTTCTGTTTCTAGATAACCAGCAAAAGCAAGGAGTCCATATGGGAGTTCATCAAGAGTTTGCTGGATGCCTGGTCAGGCTGGGTGGTGATGCTGCTCATCGGCCTGCTGGCGGGTACGTGGAGGGCGCACGCGGTACCCCCCCCCCGCCCTGGGGACGGGGCTGGAGGTGCCGCGGAGCCTCAGAGCACCAACTCTTCCTGTTCAGGCTGGTGTTCTGAAAATGGACTGGTTCTCTTTTACCCCCGTGCAAGGGATTTATTACTTGAAATGCCTCAGAGCAAACTACACGACCATACACTTAACATAAAACGTATCATCAATAAGGCAAGACCCCAAGGCATGGGCCCAAATGCGGTCACTGGAAAAAAGCTGTAATTAGAGGGCCATGTCTGCGCAGCACACAGGTTTATGGCTATACTGGATTTTATCGAAAGCACATAGTTTGCATCCTGTAGTACCGGGTTATGTAGAAGGCAAGCAAGTATGGGAACACTTTGATCTCTAATAATAAAGCGCCGTATGAGAGTGGTCTTTACCAATACTGGCGGGCCCTGGAGTGAATCGTACACATCCTAGGATACTCAGAATAATCCGAGACACCTGCAGGGCCTGAGGTAGGCCCAGAGCAAATATGTCCAGCCTGTGCGTTGTTCTGACCCTCAGGGACACTGCATCCTCCAATTTTTATAATCCCAGCACCATTCTTGCAGGCAGTCGATGTTTTCCAGAGTGAATGGAGGCGTATCTGGAGGGGAAACCTGCCCTTCTAATATCAAAGGTACCAGCTCTCCATGGAAATTCTGTCCTGAGACGTTAATTTCCTTTTAGGAGGCTCTGAAGGTTAATGTCTAAGATTAAAAAAATCTGAGCACACTAACAGCGATTCCCTTAATAAAAATCACCTACCTGTAATAACATAATAGTTACGGTTATAGGATTGATCAGCGAATGACTGTCATAAAGGCAGAATATAGTAAAAGCTGTGAGAAAGACAGAATACTAACAGGGCATAGATACAAATTGTGTGATTACAGAGGGTTTGGATTTCTGGGCATTCCTTCCTTTATCCCGTACACAGTTGTGGGAGGGGCGTGGTTGCCAGGGAAGGCAGCCGGCGCTGAAGAGCCAAGAGTGCTGAAGCGGGGATCCTTTTCCTCTTCTCACGGTGGCTGTTCTCGCATGTCCCCAATTTTAGCCTTCTGTTCCCAGGGGCAGCCCGGGTATAGACCAGCAGCAGTGTTGGCAGGGAATTCGATTTCATGCCTATACGGTGTTTCGCCACGAATTTGACTGCTTCCATGAACACCTTTGTAAGTGGGCAGGGGAGGAATTTGCTGGGAATTTTGAGGTCTTTATTTAGAATAGATTTAAGAAACTGTATACCGTATCATTATTCTTGGCTTCTAGGCAGGAGAAATAAAGAGAGGGAATGCAGAAATCCGGAATAGATGTTCTAGCGTCTCGCCAGAGCAGACAGCACAGCATGGATTTATTGACTAACGTAAGAGCCCGACCGGGCTCTCTTGAACAAATCTGATATTGACCAGTTGGTTTCCTTGTCAACCCAATTTCCGCCAGTTCTTTCAGGAAGAATCACCTGGGGAATGAAAGCAAAACATCTGGCTGCCTGGGCTTCAAGTCAGTAGTATCCCTGGAGATGGTGCCCTAGCATTGGGTAAAGCCCCCTTCCTTTCTCCCAGCCCCCTCCACCTGTGATCCTAATGCGCAGCCAGGGTTGAGCACCCCCGCCGAAGGGTGCTCTGTGGCCCCTGCCCCCCAGACGAATACAGGAGGAAGGTGAGAAGGGGATGACGCTGGCAGTGAAGGTGGCTAAAGTGTGCTGGCTAAAGTCAGCAAATTGTGTCCCCTTCGCTTTTCTCCTCCCCAGTTGTTCTCACAGTGCGGGAGGACTCAGGGGGTCCCCCTGCCTGGCCAGTCCTCTCTCCTCAGCGACACCCTGGACGTTATATTTTGACTCCCATGATGGAGAGGCCCAAGCGGCGGCTCCTCTGCGGGGCGCTTATCGAGAGTCCCCACTGGGTGTCGCTGTTGTTCCACCGACCGAAGCCGAGCCGCACGGCGCTGTCAGGCAAGTCAGCCCAGAAGACCGGGGGAGGGATGAGCTGATTGCAAACGAAATCTGGGATGATCATTGGGTCTCGCCCTTGGATATCTACAGGACCCCTCCCTCGCCTTCTTTAGGTCTTTTTTTTTTTTTTTTAAA